CGAAGCTGGAGGAGAGCGGGCAGAGAAATCTCGCGTGCACAGTTTCGCGGCCAAGGAGCACAGCAGCTCCTTTTTCTGTCGATTGACCTCCCTCTTTAGCTCGAGGAGCTTTTGTTTGTCGATTGATCTGAAAGTGACGTCTGGCGAGGGAAAATTGTCGGAGGAAGCGATCTAAGCTGGAGGAAGAAAGGTAGAGATTTGTGAAGATCGAGGAGAGACCGTCGGAAGCACCAGGCGAACGGTGATTAAGAAGATCGATACGGAATTGCGAGTCGTGTGTTTACGAATCGGAGCCTCGAAAAAGCTGCATAGGCGTAGAATGGAAAAAGCGGCTGGACGCGTGCGAGGTTTACGTTGAAAAAACAGGCAGCTCGCGGTGAGAGAGATAGAGAGAGAGAGAGAGGGGAGAGTAGAGATTAGAGAGAAAGAAAGAGAGGAGGGTATGGTGCGAGAGGTTGGAAGGCAGCACGCCAGTGTGCAGGGTATAAGGCAACGTGGCGAACAGGAGTAGTGCACCGTGTAGAGAAGAGGAGGACAGCAGAAGCGTGGTACGGACGGAGCGCGAGAGCGTGGCGTAGTGGAGCGAGAGCGAACGAGAGGCGCCCGCAGCTGAAAAGAAGAAACAGAGCGACAGAGAGTCGAAGAGAGAAAGAGAGAGGCGGAGGTATAGGCAGGAGCGAAGATCAGAGAGAGTCGAGGAAACGGTGGAGAGAGAGAGCCATTCATCTTGGCGCGCCTAGGCGGCACGCGATTGGTCCACCGTGGATAAGGGAGGCACGCGATTGGTCGACTCTGTTTACCAGCTGGTACCGGAGCGCGGTCGTGGTACGTAGAAAGAGGGGGGAACAGAACGGAGAGACAAGCGGCGCCATTATTGTAAGGGGTTACATTTAGCTGGCCGTGGGTTGTAGTACGCGGCGTTCGGGATAGGGGGCTATAGTACCTTCATGCATGGCCCATAAAGGATTCGTCGACTATCCGAGAAGTACGCAAGAAACGGCTTCTAACACCTGACAGGGGCCACGCTCTTCTCTTCTCTTCTCTCTCCGCGTGCCGTCGCCTTGTTCACCGTCGCAGCCCAATTTCCTTCGCTGGGACCGCTACGTTGGATCAGCTGGGTGGGCCCGTGCCGACGAAAGACCCGCTGCTTTATTGTCGCGCCTCGTCCCGATGTGGAAGGAATCGTAATTACCATAAAGGAATCCTACGAGTCGTAACGTCGTGCCACCCTTCGAATCGGCGAATCCTCCGTTCTCCTCTTCTGTGTCTTACCATCCTGCCGTCAACCTAAAGGACCACGTAATATACACGGTGGAAGAGGGGAAAACAACAACCTCTCTCGAAGCGGGAGCATTCATCGTGTGTCTGTTGCCGTCGCGCGAAACGCTCTCCCTCCGGTAATCGATAACCCGCCTACCGCCACCGCGCGATATCCATCCTCGCGTTCGCTCTCGTTCCTGTGATAATGTGTAAAGTTGCGTAAGTGGAGATCAGAAAGTGGGGGTCAGAGGTAACGGATAAACAAGGGAGAGTAGATGGACAAGTCGGTAGATCGGGGAGAAGAAGAACGACAACCACCAAGATCGACTGTAACGTAAAGTGACGAACAACAAGTCGACGCGTAACGTGAAGAAGGTCATTTTTTGTGCGTGCATAGGGGTGTTAAAGGGATACGAAACAAGAGAGAGAGAGAGAGAGAGAGAGAGGGAGGGAGAGAGAGGAAGAGAGAGAGAGAGAGAGAGAGAGAACCTAAGAAAGGAAAACAAGACAGTGACAATTAACGTGAAGAAGATAAGTGCGCGCGAGAATGAAGAAGCAGCTGGCAGACTTGCCGGCACGGTGTCGGTGTTGAGACACTCAACCCGGTCTCCGTGTCCGGGCGTGTCTTCGGCATCGGGACGTGTCGAGTCCGTAATTTAATCGGAACCGGCCACTGCCGATATGAGTTCGAAATTCATAATCGATAGTATGCTACCTAAGTACCACCAGCAGTTTCATCATCAACAGTTGTTCTCGAGCGCGAATCCCGGCACGATCCAGGCGTGTACAACTAGTCCTGCCACCGCGAGTTTAGAATCGAGCCTATCCGCGGCTGCAGTCGCGGCCGCGGCAGTGAATTACGCGCAACAGCATAATTCCCCAAGCCCGACGGGCTCGAGTCCTCAGCACTCAGGAAGTTCCGCATCGACGTCACCGGCGGCTAGAACCACATCCAGTATGTATCCTTACGTGTCGGCGGCTGCGGCCCACCACCATCATCAGCAGCAGCAAGCTGTCGCGGCGGCTGCTTTTGGTGCCACGTCTAGCATGGTGCCGGGTTTCGGTTCATCGGCGGCATCGAGCGCCGCATTGGCAGCGGCCGCGGCCGTCGACGCCGCGACCGCCGGCGATAAGTCCTGTCGTTACACCGCCAGCCTCACAGGAAACGTCGCGCCGTCCTCCGCCGATCCAATGGTCAATTACACCCTTGGTCATCATCATCAAAACGGAGCTACACCCGGTAGCTTGGTGTCCTCCGCGTCAGCCTCCTCCGCTGTATCGGCCGCGTCCGCATCCATGGCCGCCGCTGCACAGTTCTATCATCAGGCTGCCGCTGCATCGGCCGTCGTCGATCCTCTTACGTCCTGCCAGCAACCTACCACGGGACAACCTGGTATCTCGGACATTCCCCGATATCCGTGGATGTCTATCACCGGTAAGTTCCTTCTTTTCATAGTTTCTACCGTCCGAGACTAAATTTTCTTTATCTAAGGACGAGGGTAAAGCTTGGGCAGCGCTATACTCTTCCCCTGCTTAACGTGTACTTCTTTTTCATCTTTCTTTCCGCATCAAGTGTCGTTTGATTATTCTCCAGTACCGTCCACGCATTTCTTTTTCATCTTTCTTTCTGTGTGAAGTGTCGTTTGATTATTCTTTCGTAGCCAGTACCGTTCAAGACGAAACTTTCTTTATCTGAGGATGAGAGTAAAGCTTGGACGGCGCTATACTCTTCTCTAGCTTAACGTGTATTTCTTTTCGATCTTTCTCTCTGTATGAAACATCGTTCAATGCAGCATGTATCGTAGACGCTTCTTCGAGTATTTGTTTCTGCACGCCGAAGGAGTTAGAGCACGGTTTTCTGTAGCAACCAGAACATTGTTTCGCGATAAACGTTCATGTAGGATATAGAGGTCGGAGATTTAACTGCTGGCATTCAAATAACCGCGTGTATCGCGCGATCGTTATGGCTGTTAAACGGCTCGCTAGCGTTTCCTCTTTTCGAGGGAAAGATGTAAACGGACGATAAGCGTCGCTCGGCAAGATAGATCCGGCGTTTCGAGCTCGATCGTTCGCGGTTAATAAGCGCTAAATTGTCCGTCGAAACGAGCAGAATCAATAATAGAATTAACGTTATCGCGTCAGCGAGAATGGCCTGTTGTTTGTATATGATCTCTTGTCGGGTATATCGGCACGCATTTAACGACCGAGCGTCGGATGTTGTTGTTCTTAATAATGCGTCGGAGATAACGATAACAGCCGCGGCTCCTGTAGCGTTAACACACAAACGTGCCATCTCGTTTTGTATTTATTGAGAGTAGAAACACGCAGAGAGACGGCACGAATTTGCAAGTAAAAACGCGCTCGTCGTGTGTCCATCTCACGGTTGTAAATTTAACAAACCTACGAATCAAGCTTGATACGATTCATTGTCTCATGCAAATCAGTGTCGATATCGTTTTACGGCCCATCGAGATCAAAAGAGAACGAACACGGTGATACATAATCTTTAGTTACGTCTATATTAAAATTCTTTCTCTGTTCTACGTATTACGGTTTTTTAGCCAGAGAGGAGTCGCTTCGGTAGCGAGGATACGAGTTTTCCTTTGCATTCTTTCGCAGCTTTTGCCGATGAGAGAATGTAAAGAAGAAAAAGGAACGCGAAAACAACGGATTAGTCGGAAACGGCGAACCTATGGATCTCGAAACGATGGAAACTGACCTACGGTACACGTGTTTATAGTTATTCTTTCTGCAGGGGGGCACTACGAAGCGGAGTCGTTCGGAGCATTGTTATGCCTCGAATGCTTCGTAAAATCTGTTAAAAGCCCGGGCTCGAGCCAGCGCTCCTTTACCATGGACTAGGAATACAAATATCCCATAAAGCTAATTGTAGCGGTATATTAATAATAAGTTCGGCTTCTTGTTACGACCTAACAGATTAGCCTACTTACTCTCCTCGGCCTATAAACATTCAGCTTACAATTTTTGCCACATCAACCCAGTTTTCTCTTATCGACCGTGTGTTGAGTATAGAGAAAATTTTATATCTACCTGACCGGTTGATAGTAACAGCCCAATTAACATTGCCGCCGTTAGATCTCGAGGAAATCTTACGTATATATACCAGAGAACAGTAGATTACCACCTGCACGTGATTATTCTTGGCCAAACGTGTCGCTCGTGCGCGTCCTCTCCATCTAAACAGCGTCGCGACTCGAAAATACCGCCGCCATATTGCGACTCGAAACTTCCATGATTGTAAAAAGCCAGCTAATCCCGCCGACCTGCACACGAATTTACGTAAAAATCTCGTTTTGTTCGTCACGTCGAGTACTATCGTCGCTTCGAAGATCAACAAAAGGAACAGATGAAATTGGAAAATTATTTAGACTCGAAATTTCCGGCCGATTTTCAATTTACCGAGACAATGGCGCGGCAGGGAGGGACACGATCATCGTAGACGCGAAATCTCAGCTCGTTCGAGCGACCGGCTATTCACCGTGTTCCGCATAATACATCGTTGGGGTACAAGCTTGTAGCAGTTCCTTTGTCCCCGTGCGTATTAGTGGGAACAAAGTGCCGACGGTGTTTTACCGCGATGTATTCGCGACTTAGCAACCTCGGAGCTCCTCTGTTTTCGTGTTTCTCGCGGTTGACACGCGCGAAAATTGCCTGGTGTGTATTTTTAAAACGGTCCTCGTTGTTTTTCGCGCACGTTATCGCCGCGGATAATTCTCGAGGCGACGCCAATAAATTGCCAGCGCGGAGGATTCAACGAAGACGGTAGGCTGGTTCAAGGTTTCCGGTCAATATACCGGCGAACCAACGAAAATAAACCGATCCGAAATAATTGGCTGTACCGAAGTACGCGCGCCCTTTTCTTTCCACCTGCTACACGCGTTCGCGTAGGAACGAGGGAGAATCGAACGTGTTTCGCGAAAGATCCCACGGTATCTCTCTATCCGTGGAGCGAGCGAGTAGGTAACGAGAGTGACGGTGATTTCAACTAGCGGACAACGGCGACGCGCGAGAATTGACAAGAACGATAATCGTTCTCGAGGCACGATTTCACGCGAAATGGCCGCCGTTGTGACGTCCTCCCGCCCATCGTTCACTCCGACCGAATAATATCACCTTGAGATATCTGCCCGTGAAATTCCACGAGGAACGAACGTCGCCTAACTCTCCGTTTGTTAAACTTGCACAGGCGAGGAAATTCGATAGACGAGCGTAACACCGCGATGATACACTCTTGCCGCGAGCGCGTATCGAATATATTACATCCCGATGAAGTCGTAATCGTCGAGCGTGTATGCAAATTATTTTCCAAACAGCCCGTTCGCGCTATCAACGCCTCGACAATAAAGCGTATTAAACCACCGGCGGTTTCGTGCATTTTTCCCATACGCGATAGAAACGCAGCGGCAGAGTTAAGGGAGGTTGTTCGTTATATTCGCGGATAACGCTCGTTCTAACGTGGCTAACGTTTACCGTAAATCACCTTCATAACCAGCTTGACCACCGGGTGTAATTCAACTGTACGGTTTCCTTGGCAGCTTTCAGTCGTACGTTCGTCGTCTCGCGGGGATTTTCTGAAGGGAGAGAAACTTTTGCCCGCGGCTAACGGTAACTGGTAACTCGGCAAAGAATTCGGCTAATGGATTCGCCATCTTTGACGAGTGTAACGATTCTCTTCGTTGATATTATTCGTGTGATGTTCGGTGGAACGAGCAGAGTAACGTCGGAATCGGCGGATAAATCGTAACGGGACAAAATGGCGACTGATTTTTCTCAACACGTACTTTCGTGCAATTTACAACGTCTTTAGTTTTTATTGAACGACGCATCGTCGATAATATTTGCGTTTGAGTGTTAATACGAGGAAGAGGGAGAGAGAGAGAGAGGAAAGGTAGAAGTATAGAGAGAAACATGTTCCTTGTTCATCTTAGCGCGGTAGCCTTATCGGGCAACGTTCGCAAGAAGTCTCTATTCGTGATTCAATAAAGTCCTTATCTGGTTTACGAGTGCGTAAGAATAACTTTACGAGCCGAGAACGAAGGGAAACGCCGTCTCTCGCGGTAGTCGCTCGAATGTAACGCGCTCGAGAGAGAGATTTATTGGGATAAATCCCAAGCCGGATGGATAGTGGTCTCGCGATCGAACGCGCCAGTCGTTAATTAGAGTCGTAGCCGGGTGTACACGGTGCGCCTACTAAGCGAGACACTCTCGTGTCGCAAGATTGTACACGCGGCGAGATCTCGCCGGATCCTCTCGACGTCCGCTTTGATCGAGAGATCGGTTGTGCGTCGCGATCGTGGTCGCGACAAAGATCAACGCTCCACTCTAATCCAGAAGACGTTTCCGTTTAATCGGCGAGGTAGAGATGCCAGTGGGAAACTGGGGATTAACCGAGGCCGAGGTACGCTCGAACGTTTCACGATCGCGCCTCTAATCCTCGTTTCCACTGGGCCCAAGTTACCACCGAGAGCTTTGCGTGTCGAGCTGCCGCGAATTTCCTACTTTCTAATTGCGTATCCGCTCGAATAAGTTTCGCTTACACGCGCCTTCTTCTTCGTTTCCCTCTCTTCTTTGCATCTTCTTTCTTCGAACGTTTCCTACACACTTTTCGTCAGTCTGTGTACTTACTTACGCCTGCCCGTGTCTGTGCGTGTTTATCTGAAGTGCATGCTTTTCACGAGGCGGGTTTTAAAGCAGCAGATCATTTCTACCGACTCGAATTCACGCCCAAACTAATCACGACCATTTCTATTTTTGCTTGCAGATTGGATGAGCCCGTTCGACAGAGTCGTGTGCGGTGAGTACCATCTTATTGTTAACACTAGCGGTAGTTTTGTTCGCTGAAACGTTTTAGCTGGTGAATTTTTTGCTTTTCGTCGTCGAGGAGCGCCGCGATATTGGAGACGAGATTTCCGCCTTTCTGACACCGTCGAACAAAGAGAAACCCCTTCGATTCGCTGTTAAGCCGCGTTCCGTTCAGCGAGTTCGAGAGAATTGGAGAATCTCGGTTCGGTTGTAGATTGTTAAGTTGGGGAGGGCGAGGAGCAACGAGGTAAAACGAGGACTGAGATATACGAACGTAGGGACGAATCTGTTCCCAAGTGCGAGTTGCCGCCGCCGCCGCCACATATGGCAGCCATATTTCCGAACGTAAGAGCCGGTTTCATTCACGATGCGTAATCGTACGAGACGGTTACCACTTTTTCGCCCCTTCTATTTCAACCGCCGCTCGAATTTCCGGCTTTACGATCGTCACCTCGCCCGGTGTTCTTCTCCTCTCTCAAAACAAAGATCGACCAACGACGTTGTTACCAGAATTTCAGGTTAGCTTGAATGAAATCGAATTCCTTTCCTCCGGTGCGACATTCGCCGGAGATAGAAAGAGGAAGGGAAAAATTCCAGTCTATACCACTTGCCGCAAAAGAGATTTTCCTCGTTGTAAAAATTTCGTAGCCAGAATCGAGCGATAAAAAACATTGTCCGCGCGTCGTTAAACTTCACTCTGACAATTCCCCCTCCGGTAACGATATACCCGTGGAATAAGTTGTTTTAAAGCTAATTCGTACGCCTGTTTCTCCCGTTTGATCTCTCTCCCTCTGTCTCCCCTCCGCCTGTTAAGATGATTCGCGTAGTTGTCGCTTTTATAAGATGGCGCTGTTCGCGGATTCATTGCGGCGTAAAAAAAAAAGGAAAAAGAGAAGAAGTGTCCTTGGAGAACGTTGGCCATAGAGAAGTGTGTCAAGAAAGAGTCAAGGGCACCGCCGGTTAGAGGTCGTTTACTCCGAAATCGTGGGCCGCCACGTTTAGCACGTGCTCTCTCTCTCTCTACCCGTACCTCCTCTACGGTACCCTATTCATTTATGTTAGTTGCGCATGCAAGAAGGACATGTATACGGCCAACTACACCTGTCGTCACCGTGATAATGTTGCCCGCAAATTATCCCCGTGACTATCTTTTATATGGCCTATTACGGGCCCACAATGACGCAGTAAATAGCGATTAGGCGAAATTAAAACTTCAACCGTCCGACTTATCGCGATGGTTTGTTTACATTCGCCGGATCATAATTTCAAATAGGAATACGGTGTGATTACAGCAGGAAGTCTGCGCGCGCGGTGTGTGTACGATGGGAACAGTTAACCGACTGGCTGATTCACATCCGAATTTATTCGTATAAACGAAACACAATTGGCTTTTGTCTGTATACCACACGGACCGCTTATCGGTCGGATGAACTTGTTCTTTAGCCAATTATTTCTTAATTTCGATTTATTTCGCGATTATTTGGGGGATCGGGCCCTTTCTTCGAAAGGAGCAGACGACAGCGAGGAAATTAAGGGAGAGCCTTGGCTATGGGGTCGCTTTTGGTCCCTGAAATTTTTAGAAGCATCAGTGACCACACGAGACAGCGACGACGTTATAGAGAGAGTTGAAGTGCGCCTAGAGACATTCAAAGGCAAATGTCCGCACTCGTCAAAAGGAGCAAAGAAAGAACGAGGAAGTTAAGAGGGTGTCTTGGCTCCGGGTGTGTAAAGTCTCAGCTTGACGTCTAAAGCTCGATTCCAGCGAAGTGCTGGAAAGAAGCAAATACCAATGAGAAAATTAAGACAGCTCCTCGACAATGCCCAGTTAAATCTCCAAAATTTTTCCTCAGCTCCCAAATTATCGTGGGTAATTTTCGAACCGTGTTACGACGAAGGATCTTTTTAAATCGAAGTACCGTCTTCGACTGAAACTCGTCAGCGATTCGGCGTGGTATCGATGTTACAGACGAACCTGCTGCATGTTTTACAAACACGACTGTGCAAGCTGGTTTCGGGTTGCTATGGTGAAAGATAAGTAAGCCTCCCCGGCACACACCATCATCCTCTGTTTGACGCTCGTCGGAGAGCGCGAGGGAGACGTGACGTTAATGCATTTGGAAGTTGGGGTGCGTCAGCCGAAATACCTGTGGGAATGTCGTACAGAGACCTCCAGGATGCTTGGCTAATTGTAATTGAAGTTATGTACGCGAATCAACGTTAGCCCGGGGACACACGATGCATTATGCATCGTACGTCTGTGGCGTATTTCTTTTTCCCGGTCTCTTTTGCATCGACAATTGCACGGTCCCGCCATCTTTTCCACCCTGGCTATTCGACCAGTTCTCTCTTTCTCTCGAGAAATTTATTAACGTTGCGTGGCGTATTTTATGGACTGTGCAACGACCATGATAAATCGCCTTTTTTCACTCCGAAAATTCTCTCCGCTTCTTTTTC